GCCATTGCTACAGGTGTTGGTGGCGTCGGGCGTGCACGCGGTAGTCTTCGACCTGTGTCAGAGTGGGCTTCGAGACCGTCTCGGAGGTATTTTGATGAAGACCGCTGGGCTGGTTTCCAAAGCTCCGGAGATCCTCGGGCAGTTCGCGAACTTCAGATGCCATTTCCAGGTTGAGAGTCAACAGTTTCGACGCTCGGAGTTGGCCATAGAAGATGGCCGAGCGACTCGTTCAGGGCATAGTAGACTTATGTCGCCGTCTGCAGTGCGACGTCCGATCGGCGGCCTTCCCAAAGGTGTCCGCTGCAGCTGTGGAGGGGCGAGTTCAGACATGCAGTGGCGGCCGAGCGCGCGCGTTGCACCTGCAAGGCGTGCCCGCGCCGCGCGCGGGCAGACTCGCCCGTGCACTCCCAGGGGCCAGCAACGCGCCGCTGCCCTCGCAGCGCCCTGATCGACTGGGGGTGCCTCGGCTGCCAGGAGGAGAAGGAACGCGACCGCCCCGTGCACGCCCGCGAGTTCGGCAAGTGCAGGTTCGCAGATCCTCGCATGCGGCCGCGCTCGCGCGCCGGCCAGTGCCCGCGTGCGCCGGCGCGACCTGGAGGACCACGTCGCCCCAGCGATCGGCAGGCTCAACTTCCCAGCGGCGCAGACTTTGGAGCTGCAGACGGGGCTGCCCTGCCGCCCGCGCCCCCAGGAGAAATCATGGGCCAGCTCATCATCTATCGCTGGGTCTCAGGGTAGTGGTTCGGGCGACTGTGTCGCTCGACCAGGGATGCGAGCCAGTCCAGTAGCGCGCAGAGCCTCGACGGGCAGCGCCGCGAGGTGCCGAGGCAGCTGTAAGCAGCCCAACGCCCCCAGACTGGACTCGCTTCGATGCCACCGCAACCATGCTAGCACTTCGCAGTGGTTCGCATCAGACGCGCGCGCGATTGCTGCGCAAGCTGCGCGTCCGGTGATGGCGCGCGACTTTGGAGCAGATGTCACGAGAACTGCGAGCAGCCGACGTACCGCGAAACGTCCTCGGCTTCACCTTCGCGTCGGCCAACATGTGTAGGGGGTGCCGCATGTGATCATGATCAGGACAGGATATCGCGTTCAAGGGCGACTCGACGCTGTTTGCCGCCGTCGACCGGTCATGTATTCAGCTGTTCGATGCGATGGAGACGTTCATCGTGGGCGGCGAGGGCGGGGGGGGCCTCGCTATATTTCGTGGGGGAGATGAAGAGCTAGAAGCACATGGATATTCGGGCTCCTCGCCAGCGCGCTCGCCTCGTCGAGGGACGTGGTGCCGTGCTGCGAGACGCACTTCTCACCGCAGAAAAGTTGCTCAAGTCCACGTGTATCTCGGCGAACTTCGACTCGACGCTAGCGCGCGCTAGCCTTGCTGACGCCGGCTTCATCCACGTGGTCGTCTTCGGACGGCAGCCGTCCATGCTGCCACTATTCGAAACGGACGAAGGGGGTGAGGTATCCAGTGCCTGGCACCAGTGCTGGGCCTTTCCTGGTGGAGAAGTGCTGCCCAGCCGATTGCAGTGGCGCGTCCGAGAGATCGTTCTGCAACGAATGTTCGAGGCCACGTCGATCTCACGCGTCAGCCGTGCCCGCTGGTCCTGCACCGCAAGTCCAGGGGCGGCAGCGGCAGCTTCAACGTTGGCGGTGCGGTGGATATCCACAGGCCCCCGAGCGCGAAGGACGTGCAGGGCTGGGCCATCCCTGGGGCGGTTATTTCTGTGGGCCCGGCTCGAGGCAACGTGGCGGTCAAGTGCAAGACGTCTGGGCCTTGATCGATGCAGTCCTCGACGACGTTGGCGCTGACATTGCGCGAGCAGGCTCGGCCCAGGACCGCGTGGAGGACTGCCTGGAGTTCGTTGCGCCAGGCACCAGGGCCAGGGCATCCGGCCACGGGGAGGGCGCGAAGGCTGCGCAGATCACCGGGCAGACCCAGCAGCGCTGGGACATCCTCGAAGCCCTGCGCCATCTGTCCCGCAGGCGCGTTCACCTGCCAGACGTTCGTGCCATGCGTCTGATGCGCGGCGGGCAAGCTATGGGCAACTGGTCAGGCTGCATCCGCAGCCAGGCTATCTGGTGGTTCCCTCGGAACCCAAGCGACGTCCAGCAAGTCTAGCTCAACGGCGTCAAGTTCGACGCCCATCAGCTTATCGGCGAGCATTGGAAGGAAGCCCGCATCATTCAGTTAGCAGACGCCGGACATTCGATGTCTGTGTCGCCGACGTTCCCGAGGGCGCCGCCAGCACCGCCGAGGGTGGGTCACCATTGGCCCTGTTGGCTATACCCGAGGAGACCGACAGGGACTTCTCCAGCCACATTGAGCGGGTAATGTTGGCAGCCTGGCGAGAAGTTGAAGGGGCAGAAGACCTGGCCCAGGGTCTCGGGGAGCTGGAGAGCGCCGAGAGTCGGAAGAAGATCTGCGCTGCTGTCGACCACGCCACGGCTGGCCTTGGCCGCAGGCCCCGCGAGTGGCCCCAGCACTTCGAGACGCAGCGCCAGCGTCAGAGCATCCATGCGCAGTGCCACTGCTACCTGCGCGGGGCCTTCTTGGACGACTACGCCAGGCTAGAGGAGGACGTCGAAGGAAGAGGGCATGTGGAATTGTATCTTGATCCAGGGGTGCGTGAAGCATGTTGAGCTTCGACGACGAAGCGTCTGGTGACTGTCGCTGGCGCTTTCCGGACAGCCGTGCTTGCCATCGATGCCGCCGTGAAGACCGCGGTCTCTCAGCGCGGCGCCGACCCTCTTTTCAACGGAGACGTGTTCTGGCTGTCGCAGGAGGTCGCAGCTGCCATTCCCGAAAGGCTCACCATTGGGGCGAGGTGGCGCGTCGCCCAGGCTGGGTGTGCGTCGCTGTGGACGTCGAGAAGGTGTTCCTGCGAGGCATCCTGCGAGGCAGGACCTACGCCGACATTCAGTGCCAATGTGAAGCGCCCCGCGGAGTGAACTTCACCCTGCCGCCTAGCAGTGCAGCCGTCCTCCGGCAGGTGCCCGGCTACGAGAGCTACGGCGAGAGCAGACAGAGTTCTTGCGACGCATCAGGCCAGGTACGGGCTGCAACGCTGCTCCCCGAGCCTTCTCCATGAGCTCGCCGGGGTCGCGCGCGCGCGCGCGCGCTAAAAATGCATCGCCTAACCCGCCGGGTGGGGCCCAGAGCTCGAGGTCCAGCACGAGACGTCGGGTGCCTGTGGCCCCAGCGACTCGGGGCTAGTGCGCAAGTTGTCCAAGCGCGCCGACGATCTGCAGATGGCTTCGCGCGTGGAGCTCGTGGACTGGCTAAGCAGCCACAGTCGAGAGCGTCTTCGGCAATATGGAAGGGGAATCTGATATTTTTACTTATGCGGGGTGCGCCAGCGCCGCAGTGCCGATGGCGCCGCAGCGATCGATCAGGACGAGTACATCGAGGCTCTGATGCCGATAAGACATGGCGACGCGGTCACGGCGGGGGTTGACGAGCCAGTCGGAGGTCATCTCCCATACCGCTTTGTTTCCCTCCTGGGAGCAGCACCGTGCACCCTGCTCGCCCAGCGCCGCGTTGCCGCGTGCGTCGTCGCCTATGCAGCGAGTCAGGAACACGCTGCTCATCCGACAAGAGATGCAGCACGCGTCGCATTTCCAGCCATGGAGTGCGCCAGGCGAATCAGTGCACACCGTGGCGGGCCGTGTGAGGGCGGGATGCGGCGTGAGAGGGGCCGTGTACGTGCGTCTCGGCAGGTGCTGCCGCGCTTGCAGACAGGTGTGCCACTTGTCGGACTCAGTGAGCTGATCTGATCTAGCTGGTGTGCAGATCTTCTTTTCGGGAGGCTGAGGGAGGAAGGGGGGTGCGCGATCCCTCCAGATCTCGTCATCGACGTCATGTCTGGCCTCGGCGACCTGCTCATGTGCCGGGTGCGGCCGCCCCCCGAGAACAGCATGGCAGGCCACCTGAGGTTATTAGCTGACCAACTGCACGCGAGCAAGATTTGGACTTTCTCTGGTGCGACGCTCGGGATTTGTGGGCCGACCCCATGACCCAGGGCAGCGTTGGCCTGGACCTCATCCTCAGTGTGTCTAGGCATTTTAGGTGGGGTCGTAGTAGATGGGGTCGGGGGATCGCGGCGCATCCCCGCTGCATCGCCGATGCGGCTCGATGTGGAGCCTGGGGTGCTTCGCGTCGACGTCGCCGATGCGTCGCCCACGTCGCGATGCATCGCCGATGCATCGCCGATGCATCGCCGATGTATCGGCGATGCGGCGCGATCCTCCGACCCCATCTATTCCGACCCCATCTAGCAGGTCCCTTTTTGATGCACGGCCAGTTCAGCTGTGACCACGACGCGGTCAAGGTCAGCGATGAGAAGAAGAAGGCCGTCCCGAACCCCCAGCTGAGTTCTCTCACCAAGCAATGAAGAGGCGACTCGTTTGACTGTCTCACATGGTCGGTCACAGTAGTTCTGCCAAGGTCCGCTCGCCAGGATGCAGGCCGACTTGCCCAGCAGCCAAGACGTTGTCAAGTTATGCGCGCGTTGACGCGCGCGAGCTACGAGGACATTGAGCACTGGATTGGGTGTTGCTTCAGCTGGCTGAGTCCACAGTGGCAGCAGGCATGTGCGTGTGCTTCACCACTAGTATATTGAGCGACTCGAGCGTCTCGAGCGCTGTGCCTTCCTGTCCTGCCTGTGTCATCCCGCTTCCTGCCTGTGCTACCCGCTGCCGTTTTCCAGCAGGATTATTGCACTGTGCCTGCCTTAGACGCGCCATCAGGTATTTCGCACATGCCACATCCCGCCTTCAGAACGCATTCGTCTTTCCTCTTTCCTCGCATCCATGTCCTTCGTCTTCGTCATCGTCACCGTCGTCAGTGTCGTCGTCCCCCCCTTCCCCTTTCCTGCAGTCCTCCTCTGTTCTGGTCTTCCCTTCGTCCTCGTGCTGCTGGAACCACCCCTGCTCCTCTCATGCAAGAGTTCTTCTCTGAACCCGCTCTCCGTTTCGGGGGCTTGGCCCCAGCAGCGCAGGTCTGCGTTGGGCTGCAGCACGCCGTGATGCTGACGGATGCCGGTGCCTTTTGGCGTCGGGCGCAGCAGTGGCGTTTTTTACGTGTTATTTTGCGGGCGGGCTCGCCTGGAAGCGGGGGGTCGGTCGCCCGCAGGTGGATCCTTCGGGTTATCATCGGTTTCGTCCTGACGATTTATTTCTGTTTCAACTTACTCCTGGAAGTCGCAGTCCCCCCCATTTCCGCCATCACCCAAAGGGTGTCCGCCACCAGGGGCACATAACGTCGCCAGGTCAACGGAGGGTTGGGGGCGGAATGTTGCCCTCATCCTGACCTTGCAAGCATAACGATGTTTTTGGTTGTTGCTTTTGTTGTTGTTGTTGTTGTTGTTGTTGTTGTTGTTGTTGTTGTTCGTCCTTCGGTATTTCTCCCTGCCCGGTGTCAGTATCCATGTTCTGTTCTGCGTACTTGTTTTGTTTATGTCCTCAAGCTTGTGGACTTAGTCCGACTCCTTGCCCTTCACCCAAAGAGTCGGGACAGCAAAATCAACTGATTGGGCAGACACATGGAGCAGGATGGGGAGGGTGGGAAAAGCAGAACGGGAGGGTGAAGGGAGGGGGGGAGCGAACGAGAGAGTGTGGGCTGGGGGGAGAGAAGGGGATGGGAGGGGAATGGGAATGTGATGGGGGAAGGGGAGGCGAGGGGACGCGAGGGGGGGGGAGGGAGGGAGGGCGGGAGGGAAAATGGGTGGATGGGAGGGCGGATGGGAAGGACGGGGGGGAAAGGGGAGGGGGTAGTGGGAGTCTGAGGGGGGCAAGGGAAAGAGCTATCAATGTCATGTGTAGAGTTTTAAGTTATTTACACACGTATGCTGATGCCATTCTTCCGACCACCACAAGGAGTTAGTGTTTGAGACGATCGTGGAAGTTACATCTTGGGTAAGGAGCCGTCTTGGGATGATCTTGGCGGCCACTTGGGCCGTCGTGTTCGCTGTCAGACATAAAATGCGAACGTGCTGGAAATATAGGTTCTTGTCAAAGAAAATGGCATGAAGTTGGCCTTCTGTGGCTCTCTTTGCGATCCTCTGGAGGCGCTGTTGGGCTGTCTGGGGCCCTAGTGGGACATCTGGAAGCCATCTTGGATCGTCGTGGGGCTGCCCTTGGCTGTCATGACGCTCTCTTTGACTGTCTTGGCACTCTGCCTGGACCCCGATTGGCTGCCCTGGGGCTTTTTTGGGGCTCCAGAGGGCCCAGGGGTGCGTTGACGAGCTCGTCCCCCCGCTCCCTCTCCCTCTCCCCTCCCCACTGGCATTTTGGACCCAAGGGAAGAGGGACGGGGGGAGCGCGGTGGCATTAATTATATATATTTATATGTATATGTATACATATATATGTATGTATATACACATATATTCTCACTCATGCATGTGTGTATGTATCTATGAATGGATGCATGTATGCATATACGTACGTACGTTTACGTGCGTACGTACGTACGCACGTATGCATGCATGCATGTATGTATGTATGTATGTATGTATGCATATTTGTATATCTGTATCTGTACATATACATAGATATATGCATGCATGCATGTGTGCAGGCGTGCGTGTACATATACACCCATCTGCACACTTGTACATCTATACGTATACATTCATACGTTTGTACATATATATATATATATATGCACACAATCCGTAAGCGTGCACACACCTATATACATTCATTGTGTGTGTATCTATATTGACATATAAACATAACTACAACTATCAACTCATTGTTATGCATATCGCTGTATGCGTGTACATACACATACCACATACACTTATATGCGTATCGATATGCACGCACACGCACACACACACATATATATATATATATATCTATACGGACATCGTTTTGTACACTATACACACTTTCACCTTCATACAAATTTGCATACATACATACACACATACACGCACGCGAAGACACATATACATGCATACACACACATATATATATATATATATATATATATATGTATATCGATATACACACGTACATTTGTAGAAACATGGATCCATCCACGACCGTGCCCTGAGGCAAGAGGTGGAGTGTCCTCAGGTCGGGGCCGAGGGCCCCAACTCCCAAATCTTCTGGGCGCTCTTGTGCGCTTCAAGATGGCCCACAGACGGCCCACGAGGCCCCCCAGACGCCCTAAGAGGGCTCCGTGAGGCCTTTCCAAAAGGCTCCGAGATGAGAAAATCATGGATTCCCGTGGGTTTTTGAAGGATTTTAGTGTTGTCGCCTTTTCGGGCTCTCGACGTTTCAACACGGCCCAAGAGGCCCCAAAGGTCGCCCCAAGACGGCCCAAGAGGCCCACAACAGCGTCCCCAGAAGGTTCAATATGGCCCTAATACGGCCCAACGGGCCCCCAAGGTACGGCCCCCAAAAGGGCCCAAGAGAGGCCCCAGAGGGGGAGCACGAACCGGCATTCCAAGCCCTTCGCCCCCAGATGGCCCTCGAGACCGCCAGAAGGCCCTCAAGAGGCCCCTCACAAGCTCCAGGAGGCTCCCAGAAGATTCCCGAGAGGCCCCGTACACATTCCAAAACCGAATCCAGGCTTCCGAGAGGCCTCTCAAGAGATTCCCACATGCATCCCAGAGGCTTCTGACCTACAACCCAGGAACGGTGGTGGGATAGGCCGAAGGTCAGTGGATTCGACGCCCCCTGTTGATTAGTCACAGGGGTGCCTGGCGTGCTGGATCCTTTCGTCTTTGGTTCTTTCTATCCTCTGGGGCTCCAGCCCAGCCCGCCAGCCACCCAGAAGCGACCAGAAGGCGTCCAATTTGCTGAACAAAACTCCCAAGATGGCCACGATGGCCCAAGATGACCTCCAAGATGTCTTTGAGACGGTCAAGATGCCGTCCAAGACGGCCAAGATGGTCCCAAGACGCGTCCAAGACGGCCCAAGATGCAGCTAAGACGGTTTAAGATAGCCTCAAGATGGTTCAAGACGGCCCTAAAGGCTCCCAAGAGGCCTCCAAGACGGCCCAAGAGGCCTCCAAGAGGGCCTCCAGGAAGGCACGAAGTTGCCAAAATCATTGATCTTTGTTATATATCTTTATGATAAAATTTACCTTGTATATATAAACAAGGACTTTGGCATTTGCTTCTTTTCGACCTTCCGACGGCCCAAGACGGCCCAAGAGCTCCCAAAGATCGCCCCAAGATCGTCCAAGAGGCCTCCAAGATGGCCCCATAACGGCACAAGAGGCCCCCAAGACCGCCCCAGGAGGGCTCCAAGATGGCCCAAGAGGCCTCCAAGACGCCCAAGATGGGCCAATCGTGCCAATCTTTGCTGTTTGGTGTGAGCCCACATACGTCGAATATCAGGATCCTCTGAAGGTTCGCCATAACTTTCACGTGTCCGAGCTCTCGCCTTGGTGGCCTGGGGAATACCGTCGATGATGTCGTTCTGCTTCTTTGTGTAGCTGAGCGGATCAATCCTGATGAAGTTCTTCGGATGGTTTGCTTTCTCCCTCTTCTTCGGCGTCTGGCTTTTCCTAGAGGACGATCGTCGAGTACTCCATCTGGTTCTCCACTTCCAGCTCTGCGATCTCCACGGGTACGGTCTCTCATCGACGGTGGGACCTGGGCCAGCGGTTGAGGACCCTGCTCCTGTCCTCCTTTCTGCTGATCCCCTTTGGTCCCGCCAGCCTGTCCATCGACCCTGCTGCGCCATCACGTGCTGCTGGTGGCGCTGGGGCGGCTGGGCGCTGTGGTGCTGCTCCAACCTGCTGGCGGCGGCCGCCAGTCTGATGAGCAGCCTGTCTTGTCCGAGCTGTGTCCTGGCGCAGCGGTGCTGGCCTTCTTCCTTTGTCCTGGGCGTGGCGGTCCTGGAAGGCCGCCGCGGCTGCGGCGCCTCTTTGATCTTTGGTTTGATTGCTCCGCGGCGCGCGAGCCGCGACCGAAGGGGCGACCTACGACGTGCGAACGACGCCGCGACGGTCCCAGCCCCTTCTGGGCCGAATGGCTTTTTGAATAGCCCGCCCTTCTGTTTGGCAGGGGAAGCGTCTGGTGGCGCCGGTCATAGATCGCGACAGCCTTGCTTTGGGGGGACGGCAGCGAATTCATGTCGCCATGTAGCCGCGCCGTCGAGGCCTTGTGGTAAGCTGTGCAGGCGTGCGCCAGTCGTGGCAAAGCCCATATGCGTGGCGGTTGAATGCTTCCGCGATGGGCGTGACACGCCCATCGTTGTTGCCGTGCCCACCCAGGTGGCTCTTACCTTCCCGATTTGGACAGTGTTCTTTAGGGCGGGGATGGTACGGTGGATCTTGTGCCATGGGTCGGCCTGGAAACTTGTGCGTCGTGGTGGTATACCGCTGAGGAGGTGCTCGAAGGCGTCAGCGACGGCTTGGCTTACAGCGGACACGTGAACAAGCGGTTCCAATGCAGTGACCCAGTGGCGCGCGGCGAGCCGCAGCCCGCTGGGCGGACTGCGCTGGGCCGTGCGCGCGCGCCAAGTGGTTTAACCGGTGGTCTGCGCCATGCAGTCAGCCCGCATAGTAAGGATGGGCAACCTTCCCAAGGGTGCCCTTGCATCCTTGCCTCCTCGGTCCATCCTTCGCCGCTTTCGCTGGCCGCGCCCCGCTCGAAAAGCTTCGAAATGGGCGTCCAAGGCCCTTGCATCATTATCGCGCATCCTTATTATACTGGTTGACTGTAGCCGGTGGTCTGCGCCGTAGTCTGCAGACCGGCCCTGGCCTGGAGCGGGTGGGCCTGGTGCGGGCGGGACCCGTCGGTGGCTGCTGCGTGCGCCCATCGGGCTGCGGCGCCATCCGTGTGCTCTGGAGTCGTCGTCGGGGCCTCTGCGTGGCGGCCGCATGAGGTGCTGTTGGAGCTCGTCCTCTGCAAGGCCAGCTTGGAGATCAGGGAGCTGGGCGTCTTCCTCAAGGAGGCCGCAGTGCCTAGCGTGCGGCGGTAGGTCTCCTCATTGTGGCTCGTTGATCATGACTTTGAGGGCAGTCCTCAGTCC